GGGGGGGGGGCTTCTGTGTGAGGTGAGTACGATTGGTGTGCTACCAGGCAAGCGTCTCAGTGAACGTTGTTCATTGACCTTACTCTTCATTTCATTTCTTTTGTTTCTGGTGCTTTTTACTTAGCTGTAGTTTCTTTCGTTTCTTTTGTTTCTTTCGCTTTCACCATTCTGCTCACCTTCCAAAACACATCCCAACCAACTCCCTCCGGTCCGGGGTCTTCCCCCCTTGTGTCGTTTTCTGCAGCCGCTGGCTCGCTTGGGAGCTACAGTGACAGGTGTTGATGTGACACGTATCAACACACGAGTGGCTGCTACTCACGCTGTACGTCTCTTTTGATGCATGTCCCTAGTGCCGCAGAGCAAGCCTCTGAAAGGAGGTGTTTTGTCTTAGGCTCTCTTGATCCACCGTTTGATGCTCTTTATCAGCAGCGTCACTTTCCGTAAGGCGTTCTTCTGCTGTGTTTGTTTTCGTCCAGTTGTTTTTTCCAGAATTTGTAGAACCACCCAGCCGCCACGTACGTCTGCAATTGTGACTATACAATAGCATGTCACTGGGTTGGAGTGTCTTTCAATGCATGCTTCGCGCGTGTGTACGTACGTGTGTGCAGGCAAGGGATCCTATCACCCGATCCATATCTTACAAGTGCATCTCTGCAGGTATCCACTTTCATTTGAATGACTGCCAATTCTCCCCTTGCTTGGGATCTGCTCACAATTTGGCCCCTCTCCTCTTCTCAACACTCTCCGTTTCCACTCTCTTGTATCTTCTCCCTGCCCTCTCCGCGCCTCTCTCTTCTCCCTCCGCGTCTCTCTATCAAGTGCAGAAGAACTTGCTGCACAGGGGACTATGTTTGATGCCGTGCTCTCATTGGAGGGGAGGTGAGGTGCGGTACAGTCAGGTGAGGTGAGGCAAGGTGAGGCGGGGTGGGGTGACGTGAGGTGGGGTGACGTGAGGTGAGGTAGGTGAGATGAGCTGAAGTAAGCGAAGATTAACTTCTTGATCTTGCAGCTGGTTACTCCTTGCTCGCCTTTCCCCTCATTCCTGCTGCTCTCTGCTGTTCGCTGCTCTCTGCTCACCTGCTTTCTGCTCTCAGCTTCTGTGCAGGAAATGTTCACCTTCATTTCGCCTCTTTGTGCTTCCCTCGCTCCTCTCTGCCCAGGTGATTGAGCATGTGGCGGATCCTGCTGCTTTCGTCCGCACCCTCACATCTCTCTGCCGACCCACTCCACCACCCTCCGCTCCTTCCTCCCCCCTCACCCCATCTTATTCATCTCCTTCCCAAACTTCCACAGCACAAACGGCCCATCCCCATCCATGCCCATGGCCGCCATCCACTTCCTCTCCAGACACATCAACACACCCCACCCACATCAACACCCCCACCCACATCAACACCCCCACCCACACCAACACCTCCACCTGCACCAACATCCCCACCTTCAACTCCCAACCCCGGAGGCGTGCTCTTCCTCTCCACCATCAATCGCACCGCTCGCTCCTTTGCTCTCGCCATCGCAGCTGCCGAGTACATCCTCTCTATAGTATGTACATTTTCTTTCGTGTACGTACATTCCTTTTTTGTGTGTATAGATTCTTTCTTGCTCTATATAAATTCTGTCTACTGCATGCCTCTCTTTTCCCCGTCCAATAGAGTGTGCCTCTGTACTAGCGTCCTTACCTAACAATTGGACTGACTTCGTCACGTCGCCAAGCTTCTATTTTCATTGTTGTTGTTGTCGTCGTCGTCATCGTTGTTGTTCTTGGTGTTTTTTTTTTTTTTTTTTTTTGGCATGAATTTGTTGCATGGCCACCGGTTTTGCCCGTTTGACAAAACTTGGAGCTGCCTAGCACTTACCAAAATATTTTTGAGGCACCTCAATAGAGCTTGGGAAACGACTAAGGCTTCACAAAGTATCACCCTGATTGCAATCACCCTCACTTGTGGCAGGTACCCCGGGGGACTCATGATTGGAACAAGTTCATCACCCCTTTGGAGCTTGCCCTCATGCTGCGACGAACCAACTTCCAGGTGAGCTGCAACTACTTTAAGGAGTGCATGTGGGAGTAGGTAATTCTCATCATGTTCATTTCATAGTTCAAGGCTTAGCAGTGACAATCACCCCGTTGGAGCTCACCCTTATGCTGTGACGAGCCAACTTCCAGGTGAGATGCATCTGCTTCTAAAGGGGTGCAGCCATGACGCCAAATGGCGCTTGCAAAGGAAAGCCCAGGATCAGCGTACCTTTCCCGTGCATGTAACCATGTCTAACGCTGTTGCTGTGGCGAGCCAGGTTTGGGGAGGACCCTGTTTACTCTATCTCCACTCCAAACAGCCCATCCCTTCCTGCAGAGTGTTTTGGGAACTCATAAAAATTGCAGGGTGTTTGCAGCGCTAACCATCTCTTAAAAGCTCTGACTTAATCCTGCGTGGGTGTTCCCTTCTCCCCTCCCCTGCCTTGCTCTCCCGACCCTCCAGCTGGCGGAGACAACGTGGCATGGTGTACGACCCAATCAGCAACAGGTGGAATCTCTCAAGAGATGACATGGCAGTGAATTACATTGCCATGGCCACTCGTGTGGAGTAGAGAGGAGTGTGGCTGTGGGTTGGGTGGGGCATGTCACACGCACGCATGGGTCGCTTCTAAAACCAGTAGGTGGCATGGTAGTGAATCACATTGGCACGGCCACTCGTATGTGGAGTGGAGTTGAAACTATGGCCTGTAAGGTGTGCTTCAGTCATAGGCTTGTAAATTTGTTGCTGTTCACGTGGATGTGCACTGAAACATGTTTCCATGGCCACTCTTGATGGCCGGGCCATGCTGGTTGATACTGCTGCTGACGTTCTCATGTTGAGGTATACCGGTAGTTACAATTCTAAACCTCGCCAAGGCAGTATGCAAGTGCGCAACATGAACACAGACAGGGAGCGCGGGAGGAGGGACCCTGTCGAGAAGTGGTGGAGGGAGGGTTGGTGGTTACAGGATGCGCACATCCTCATGCATACCCATCGATAGGGAACTAGAAAAACAGCCCAGCCAGGTCAGCGTCTTGCCAAGCCAGCTCAAAGGATTTGTTGCAACTCGGCGTCTTGCCGAGCCAGCTCCAGAAGCATAGGATCGTCAAAGAACTTGTTGATGCTCACATCCTCGCTCATGCCCTGAAACAACAGACATAGAGAAGCAACCAGTAAACAGGTTACCAGAAAAAGGATTTAGAACACGATGGCCGGATTGGCGGGGTCACTCTGCACCAAGAGCCCCTTCGGCCCAACAGGCATGCCCTTGTCCAGTAGTTGATTTCTAACACAGACCTCTCATACACACCTCTTGCACCAACTTCCCTCACTCTCTCCTCACCTTTCTCCGCCTAGTTTTGACCATGAACTCTCTCGCGAGGTGCTGAGCAGGAGCCGGCTCTAGCGGGTGCAGCACGACGCTCTTGTCAAGAGGGTCCCCCGGCACCACAGCCCAGTGGTCAAACACCGACACACAGAAGGCCTGCCCCTGCGTGTGATAGCGTAGGTCTGTCTCAAAGCCAAAGGACTCTATCACTGGGAGAATGGCCTGGGGGAGACAAAGCACAGGAAGAAGGGAGGGCAGGTGAAGGGGAAAATTGAATATAAGTCGGCTCAATTGAAACAGTGTGGCTCTTGTTGAGAGGGTCCCCCGCACCACGGCCCAGTGGTCAAACACCGACACACAGAAGGGCCTGCCCCTGCGTGTGATAGCGCAGATCCGTCTCAAAGCCAAAGGACTCGATCACTGGGAGAATGGCCTGGGGGAGGGGGGAGCGCAGCAGAGGAAACAGGGAGGCCGGGGTGGAGGGAGATTGAATTTGGTTGACTCGTTTCAGACTGTATGCTGTTGACTAGAGAATGGCTGGCACCACAGCCCAGTGGTCAAACACAGACACACAGAAGGCCTGCCCCTGCGCGTGATAGCGCAGATCGGTCATGAATCCGAAGGACTCTCACTGGCAGGATGGCCTGGGGGAGGAGAGAGGGTGGAAGCACAGCACAGCATTTCACTTTGCGGACATGCCATCACGTGCGTGCACCATCTGCACACCTTAGAAACACGAACCAGAGAACAGTACAGGACCTTGACAATGTAGGCGGGTGTGCCGGACTTGGCAGCATCGACGGTCACATGGCCTAGACAACATAAATACCAACGAAATACTAGTTACAACAGTGCATGACATCACATGCGCGCATCATATATTGAGTGACTTTTGAGAATTCTCAAAAGATACTAGTTACAACAGTGCATGACATCACATGCGCGCATCATATATTGGAGTGACTTTTGAGAATTCTCAAAAGATACTAGTTACAACAGTGCATGACATCACATGCGCGCATCATATATTGGAGTGACTTTTGAGAATTCTCAAAAGATACTAGTTACAACAGAGCATGACATCACATGCGCGCATCATCACCGCACCTTGACGATGTTGGCAGGGGTGCCAGCCTTGGCTGTATCACCCGTCACGTGACTTCGACGGCACAAATAACCAAGGGAGGCTAGTTCAAACGGCCCACAACATCGCATGCACACACAATTCGAGCACCTTGACAATGTAGGCGGGAGTGCCGGCCTTGGCAGCATCGCCCGTCACGTGACCTCGACGGCGCGACAGCACCGTGTAGATGGCAGACATGCAGTCCGCAGGGGTCTGGATCTGAAGGAGGGGTAAATAGGGGAGTTTGTAGAGTGAAAATGGGGGAGATGACGAAAAGCGATAAGTAGGTGGCAATGGGGGAGATGAAACGGAAGCGCTTGACAGCACAGCACTGTGTCGTTGGCTGACATGCAGTCTGCAGGGGCCTGAATCTGAAGGGCAGAGAAGGGCAATGGAGAAAGGTGGGGAGGGGTGACGATGACTAGGTGGGAATATCCAAGTGTGGCGACAGCACCGGATCTGGATTTCAGATCTTGGTTGAGTGTTAGGCAAGGTAGATGGGAGTAGCGAGAGCGCCCTCGTTTACTTGATCCCTACCTAGCCTAGGCACCTACGGAATAGCGAATATTAGGACGAGCTTAGTCTGCTGGATCTGGGTCGAATCTATACTTTCTGAGGGATTAAGAGACCTATGAATAAGTAGGTGGGAGAGGCAAGCAGATTGCACCATGTAGATGGCCCACATGCTGTCAGCATGTTCTGGATCTGCAAGGATGGGAGACTGAGACTTCGAGGTGGTTGTAGTCACATTTGAGAATTCTCAAAAGCAAAACAGAGTTTTTTAAGGAGAGGGATCGTGAGAGGGTTGTACATCAACGGCATAAGCGCATGCCGGGCGTGGGGGGTGGGTGGGGCGGGAGACCATCCCACCAGACGGCAGGACGTAAGGATGACCTGCCCACCTCCTCGCTGAATGTTACCCCCGAAGAACCCCCAACTCACGTCAATGCAGTAAAAGGGTTCCATGAGGCCGGCCAGGAGACGCCACGCCATGCGCAAAGCAGAATATGCCGCAAGGAAGGACGAGGGATGATCTGCCCGACCCCCCACAGCATGGTTAGCCCCTTAGAGCAAGAGCACTTACCTCCACGAAGTGAACAGGTTCCATGAGGAGAGGCGAAGCCATGAGGAAAGCAGAGTAGGCTGAATGCGTTCTTTAGAATTCCAAAAAAGCGCATTAGGCCACACGACAAGACATGGGGATGACCCTGCCAGCCAGCCCCCCCTTTCTGCCTTATCAACCTTCAAGCTAAAATCTCCACACTGAAAGAACAAGAGCACTCACCTCCACAAAGTAAACGGGTTCCATGAGGCGAGGTGAGGCCATGAGAAACGCAGAATATGCAACACGGCGAGACGTGGGGATGACCTGACCGCCCCCCCGCTGCAGCGGGTCCGATGCCACGAGAGCGTCTAACAGCCTGAATCGCACATTCCTCATGGGCTCATCACACAGAGGGCCCTCCCTCGCTCCCCACTGGAAGCTGCAGGGAAGACGGAAAAGGATGGACATGGTGAGAGGGACAGGAAGGGATGGACGGGGAGAGACGGACAGGAGGGGAAAACGAAGCCAGCACTTTTCACAGGCGGCATGATTAAGGCGCCTCAATAATCAACACATGTTGTTTTCAGTCCTTTTCAGAATGCAAGGAGGAAAAGAGGAAGGGTTGTGGCTTACCCTTGGATGACGGACTCCTTGACGGCAGCCAATAGGTTCTTATCCACTTCACTGGGAAGAGTATCGTTCACCAGAATGTTGGGCCCCTGAAGGGGAAGGGGTGAGGAATACGGGGGGTTCGGAGGGACAGACCGCGGTAGCAAGAGGAAGGGAGGATAGAAACGGAGGGAAGAGTTAGAACCAACTCCTTGACGGTTGCCAGCAGGTTCTTGTCCACCTCACTGGGAAGCGTGTCATGCACCAGGATGTTGGGACCCTGTGCGTGGGGGCAAGGGAGGGGCACACAGAGATAGCGAGAGAACAGGGAAGAGAAACAGGAGGGAAGAGGAGGTAAGAAGGTGTGCAGGAGTCATAATTGCCGGATCATTGAATCAAAAGCGGTTTTTGAATGTATAGATGGGTTGGAAGCAGGGTTTGTCCACCTGCTCACACCCTTCACCCACCTGTCGGTCGGGGCCAAAGGCCCAGATGGAGCGGGCGGCCAGCAGGTCCCAGTCGTACTTGGTCTGAAAGAACTCCGCCATGCGCTTCTTGGGCCAGTCCAGTGACACTGCCCCGCTCTCAAGATCCTCTGCCAGGCCTTTCTCCATGGGCTCTGCGATCTGAGGAAAGCAGGGGAACGAGGTACATGAGACGATAACAGGGGGAAATAAGGAACGATCCGCCATGCGCTTCTTGGGCCAATCCACGGACACAGTGTCGCTCTCAAGGTCCTCTGCTAGCCCCTTCTCCATGGGTTCTGCAATCTGAAATGAGTGTGAGAGGCAGAGGGAGAACAAATAGGAGCAGGGGGGTGAGCGATGGGAGAAACTCCGCCATGCACTTCTTGGGCCAGTCTAGAGACACCGCCCCGCTCTCCCAGTTCTCTGCTAACCCCTTCTCCATGGCTCCGCGACCGAGAGACGAGGGCAGAGGAGAGCAGATATGTAGAATCATCAGCAGGGTGGCTTTCTGATAACATAGGATAGCATAGCATGCCATGGTGATCGCGTTACTCCTGTTTGGAGTCCCCACCAGCGAAGCACATAAATGTGTGTAAGCATGGTGCATGTGCTGCTATGCTACCAAGCTCCCATACATGTGTCAACATAAACGCATGGGTACGTACACACATGGCATACCATGGTGATCTTGTTCTTCTTGTTGGGCGTCTCAGCAAAGCACTTAAGAGAAGAAGTTTCGACAACGGTTTCACAGAAGGACACCACTGGGTCCGCCACCTGTGGGTAAGAAACGCAAGGCAAGGTCAGGGAGGCCAAGGGAAGCAGTGGCATAGGCAGGCCGAGGGCAAGTGGGGCGACGGCAGGGGTGGTGAGGGCGGGGGGGCGAGGGCAGAGGGCATGGGATGACCAAGAATGATAAATTAACAAGGCAAGGGCAGAAGAGGGCATCGAACTCCCAAGCATGGAATCCTTTAAGAGGGGCAATCTCTCACGCTCTTAATCATGATCAAACTCAGAAACAGATTGTCTGTGTGTGCCCAACACCGTGTGATCGCCTGATTGTTCCTCCCTCCCCACTGCTAGCGCGTCACAAATTCCAAGGCCCTAAACCCCAGAAACCCAAACCTTGAGCTCTACTAACCTTGACTTCCACCTTGGAGAACAAACCCCAGAGGTCCTCCACAGCGGAATCCACAAACAGCTTTCTCGTGCCAGCAGCGTGTACTCGCCCTTCCCTCCACCCTCATCACAGCCAGCAGGGATAAACCCCTAAACCCCTGCAACCCCAAAACCACAACCCCCTCTGCTCACCTTGACTTCCACCCTAAGTTGCCAAATACGCTCAACCCCTTCAGCGTATAGCGTATGTACACTAGCGTTTGTACGCTATGCGCAATACGCCCGCAAATACGCTATACGCTTTCAGAAAAATTTCCGGGCTGCCCAGAAAAAAACATCGCGAAATAGTTGCGGAATTTCTAGGTGAGCATTCCGCCGAAGTCGAAATGAAAATCCATGGTCTAGGCTAGCCGGGATCTGACTTTGAAGTTTTCAGGCACATTTGGGACAAATGTCGAATTTAAGATCTACACATTTATTGAAACCCATTTCATCTACCGCATTGAAACCCATTCCAACCCCAACCCATCTACAAACTCCAACCCTTCAAAATCGACCCCTAGCTGCTAATTCGTCATTTCCCACGAATAATTCCCGCTTAAAACAGCGTTCCTCCCGCCCACGTCGTACTTCTCTCTCTAGCTGAAATGTCTACCCCACCTCCCGCCCCACCCGCCGTTCGGACTCAGAAGAATGCTGCTAGGGGCACGTCATAGTGAGAATACGGAGTAGTTTTTTCCTCACCCTGCCCGGAAAGTTTTTTTCCCTGCCCGAAAAGCGTATGTCCACATCGACCCCCTACGCGGATAGCGTACATACGCTAGCGTATATACGATACGCGTATATACGCTATAAGCGTACTTGGCAACTTAGCTTCCACCTCGGAAAACAGGTCCCTCAGGTCCTACAAGACCAAGTCCAAGAACAGATCGCCTGTGCCCAGCACCGTGTGCTCGCCCGACTCCACTCCACCCGTGTCACAGCCAGCCGGGATCAAACCTTGAAACCCTGAACCCCGACCCCTTCGCTCACCTTGACTTCCACCTCGGAAAACCAATCCCTCAGGTCCTTCATGACAGAGTCCAAGAACAGCTCCCCCGTGCCCAGCACCGTGTGTTCCCCACACTCATGAACACCAGCCCTTACCCCCCGCCTTGCAACCCCAACATATCAAGCCCCTCAGCTCACCTTGACTTCCACCTCTGAGAACAAGTCTCTCAAGTCCTTCATCACCGAATCCAAGAGCAGCTCGCCCGTGCCCAGCACATGCGCTTGCCGGACTCCTCCACCCTCCCCAATTTCAGCCAGGCCAAAACCCTTAGCCCCTTAAGACCCCCCATTTTCAGCCTGTTCTCACCTTGACTTCCACTTCGGAGAACAAGTCTCTCAAGTCCTTCATCACCGAATCCAAGAACAGCTCCCCAGTGCCCAGCACCGTGTGTTCGCCCGACTCCTCCACCCGTGTAACGGCCAGCGGGTAGCTCTTGCTGATCTTCCTCAGCCCCTCCACCATTTTGGGCAGCTCCGATGGGTTCAGCGGCTCTGTGGCTACCTTAACAACCGACACCGTGTTGAATTTCAGCGGCGCGATGATAAACACGTCCTCATCATCCTCCTCTTCTTCATCCTCCTCACCTCCTCCTGCTCCCCACCGCCCCCCTGCTCCCGCTCCGGCCTTCTTCCCCCCCGCCTCCTCCTCATCCTCATCCTCCGCGCCTCCGTAACCCCCCTGCTGACCAAACTCCTCACAGAGGGTCGCTGTCTTCGTTATAGACGCGTCCACTCCCTCTATAAGCACCCAGGAGCCAGCCGGAGCAGACGAAATCGGCACCCTGTACCTAGCCTGGTATAACCACAGCTTTGTAACCACCTTCACAGCCATATCCTCCTCATCATCAGGCGAATAAGCCTCTCCCAAAACCCTAACCGTCTGCCCAGTCCTAAGAGTCCCACACATCACTCTCCCCAGAGCATCGAATGCTGAGCAGTCTGGCTTAGGGTACAGCTTCGTCACATGCACCATCAACGGCCCTCGTCGCTTCGCGCTGCAGGACAGCATCGCAGCCGCCCGTTTGCCCACCAGCGGGCCGGTGTACGTCGTCTGGACCTTCACCGGCGCAGCAGCCTTAGCGGACGGCAAATGCCGGATGATCATATCAGCCAAACCCCCCGCGCCGCCCCCTAAAACCGCCCCTATAGCCGCCTTGAGCAGCGGTTTCACGTTCATTTTGTAAGTAGAGGGACGGAGAGACACCCCTAGCTCGCCTAGAGTAGCCTCTACGCTCTTCTTATGCTCCCCAACCACCTGAGAGTACAGCTTATACAGCGGCTCCAGGACAAACGTCACAAACGTCCGCTCGCCGCCACCCGCGGGCGGCTTCCTTCGGAAGGATCTGGTGTCGGGGTGGTAGTACAGGTCACCCCACAGCCGCTTCGCGAGCTGTTCAGGATCGAAATTTACCCCGTGAGTTTGGGTGTAAAGTTTGGAAAAGGAAAGGAGGGTGAAAGACCAGCCAGCAGCAGCAGAGGCGAAGCAGACGTTCCCGAGGACCGGGTCCAGCTGGGGAGCTTCGGAAGGCATGGCTGCCGAGACGACTGCCGAGCCTGAGCTGGAGGTTCGGGCGGCCATGGCGGCGGGAGCATAGGATGCGATGAGGGCGTTGACCTCCTCGAGAGTGTGGCGCAGCTTGTGGTAGGCGTCTGGGGGTGGGAGCTTGAGCTCAGTTATCAACCGGTCCACCTGAAAAGGAGGGGGTGTAGACGGAAAGTGGGGCCAGAAGTGAAGAGGGAATGAGAGAGACGGAGATGAGAGTGTTGACGGTTGACCTCCTCTAGAGTGTGACGGAGCTTGTGATAAGGGTCTGGCGGGGGGGGCTTGAGCTCCATTATCAGACGGTCCACCTGACAAGGGGGCACAGGGAAGGGGAGAGAGACGTGGAGGATGGAGAGGAGGAAATGGAAGAGAAGGAGATAAAGAGAGGTGGAGAGGATCCAAGTGTGTGAAGGTCGCAATGAGAGCAGAGCAGTGGAGAGGCGAGAGGAAGGGATGGACGAGTGAACAAAGGAGTGACAAATAGGATAACAAAGTAAGAGAGGGTGATATAGAACAACACTACCGGGGGCAGAAGGGAATGTTAGGGGAAGCGAGTGGGCAAACAGGCAATAAAGAGGAGAAAGAGGACAAGAGGGCGAAAGGACACACACACCTTGTTGATGCAGAGGGTGATGGCCAAACCCTGCTGCAACGCATGCTTCAGTGCTCGCTCCGTGTTCACCTGTCCAAGAGGGCAATGCATCAGACGAAGCAGGAAGCCTGGACGGGTGAAAACAAAGGCGCTTACATGTATCACAAATGGAAAACGCAGGTTTGGGGAAAAGAAAGTGATAAGCACATTTACGACTGCGACGAGTTGGCTTGTGGTGAGAAGCGATTGAACTGACTCGTGTTATTCACCTCACAAACCGCAAGTCAGGCAACTTTCACTATCCACACAACCCAATCCGCCTACATTTCACCATGACCCCTTCCACGGCATCAACGACCAGCACCACCCCGTCCGCCAGGCGCATCCCGGCCGTCATCTCATCTGAGAAGTTCACATGCCCGGGCGTGTCCACCACATTGCACAGATACGACTTCCCCCGTTAAGAACTTCCTTCCCCCAAAATCGTACCTTGCATCCCCAACACTCAGCCTCATTCTTCCCAAACCAAACCTCAATCGAATCCCGGAATTCGATTCTCAAATCTCAAACCTCCTACCACCAATCCCGAGCCCTACATCTCACCATGACTCCCTCCACGGCGTCAACGACCAGCACTACGCCGTCCGCCAGGCGCATCCCGGCCGTCATTTCATCCGAGAAGTTCACATGCCCGGGCGTGTCCACCACATTGCACAGATACGATTTCCCCGTCGAATCCTCCAGCACAAGCGACATCGGAACCGCCTTAATGCTAATCATCCGCTGCTGCTCGTCCACGCGCGTATCCGTAAACCGCATGTGCCGCTGGCTCTCCGGATTCAGCGTGGCGACGTCAGGATGAGTCGCTTCGACGAGCATATCCATAAGGAGGGTTTTTTCCCGCGTGGAGGTGACCTGCTAGAGCGACGTTTCGGACCAGGGTTGGATTTTTCATCAATCCGACGATGAACTCCGTCGACACGTACGTTGCGAGCACGCCTTTCGATGCCACCTCGAATTTGAACTGCCGGACCGGCTTGACGATCGGCTCTTCTAACGGCTGAGCGTCTTCGTCCTCGACTAGGGTTTCGACGTCCTCGCCGTATACCTCAATCGCCGTCGGGTAATACTTTTTATCTTCGGCTAATATCACTGCTCCCTCGTTATCCGGCTCCTCTTCGTCTTCTTCCATCCCGATCATTTCGCCTCCTGCTCCTTCGCCGTCTGCTAGTTCCTGTTCCTGCTCATCCTCTTCCTCTTCTTCCTCCTCATCAGACGCGATTTCCGGGCCGATGTAGTTTCCAAACTCGTCGTAAAGGTTCTCATCCATTGTCGGAGAACGACTGATCGTAGGACTTCGCAGGTAAAAAAAAGGAAAGGTTGGACAAAATTACAGCCCGTAATCGGACGATTCGCGAGCCGAAAGAGATAAAAGTGATAAAGATGCGACCTACAAACCTGCGGTAACGAGATCGGAAGGACACACTCTGAGCGATGCGAAGGGAATGCCTACGAGGTGGCTAGGTCGTTGATGAAAAGGGAAATTCCAGCAATGGCGTGGCGTATGGATTGGTGCAGATGAACCACACGCGATAAATATATGAAGCTACAAATATGTAAACAGATTATTATCGATGCTGCTTTTGGAGGAATACTCGAGCAAATTTGTGACCTGTGACCACGAATCCAACGGGTCGTCTGCTTCCATGTTTGAGCGCGTAACTTTCGCGAACGTCGTCAGTGAAATATCTGTCTTTCGCGTATCCTCTTGTTCCCGGCCAAGCAATTCTTCCCTTCTGAGTGTTCCTTCCCCCATTTGACGTACGGTCATTCATCTTCCCACATTCCCCAGCAGAAATGACGTGTCTTGCGCTGACCACGGCTTCTAGTTAGTCATTTCAGTCTCCTAACTGAGATATCCTGACTTTCGCGTAGCAGCTCTACCTTGTAGCAGCCTTCACTGTGTGGTGAGTTTGCCATGCTCTGCACTGCTCGAACCTCCACTTGCGCTATAGTACAAACCAGTCGTCATTCGCTCCTCCACTCGCGACCTGTGTCGTTTACAACCTATGGGGCAAGGCTCATTCACGACGTCGAAACCGGCGGTTTAAGAGGTACCCACTTAGCGAGTTACCAATTTCGTAGTGTCCATGACCGCCGTCAGTCGCGTTGCACCTATGGATTCGAGGACGGACTCTCCAGTCGCGGAAGACTCAGGAATCCGAGGTCAATCAGCAGCTTCAGCGACGCGATTACAAGCTCTTGTGGAGGAGGTTGTGGCGCAAAATTTTCATACATGGGGAGTAGACGGAAGACAAGAAGTGGTAGTCGGCCACTTTTCAACAGCGAACGCGATTATATGACGTTGACGGAGAACTTGACGGTTTCCGCTGTAGATGCTGCTGGATCAACATCTGCCGGAAGGACTCATACAGCGTCTGCACAGGACTCAAAAGAACCGTTTTCGGGCAATACGAGACGGCGGAGACAACGAGGATCAACAGACAGACGCGTCAGTGGCGTGGTTAACAGCATTCGTGATGGCGCCACGGGAGAATCTGTCACGAATTGCGTCGGCGGCGACGACAGCAGCAGCAGCAGCAGCAACAGTGAAAAAACCCAAAGAATCGATAGCGGATACAGCCAAAGCAACCGTAGTGGCAGCAGTGGAAGCACGACGAACGGAGATCCTAGCCCACCTTCAACTCAGCAGGTGGAGGAACAAGAAAAACGAACACACTCGAGAAAGAGGCGTTTGCGCGCAGCCAGTCGTCTCATGCCACCTGTCCCTGCAGGCCACGAGCTGCTGGGTCGATGGCAGGCCACATTGCCTAACAGCAAGGCCGGCAGGGGAGGCCCCCTTATCGAAAATGGAGTGTTTCGGGGAGTGGGTGGTGATGGCATGACCACACGGGGTGCCAATGACAGCACCTCCAGCAGTAGAACTGTACACAGCAGCAGTTATCCCTCATACACTCGCACCAACACCAGCAGCAGCAGCAGTATCAGCAGCAGCAGTACCGCTAATGCCAGCAGCAGGAGTCTGTTCTTATATCTGCCATGGCCGGGGGGTCAGATGATTATAGAGGGGGACGAGGAGGCAGAAGCAGCTGCAGACGCTGCAGTGGAGGCTGAGTTGCTGGAGAGGAGAAGGAGAAGGCAGCAGACGAAGCGAGTGTATGGGCCAAGGTCAGAGGAGGAGAGGAAGAGGATTAGTGAGGGGTTGAGAGCGGTGGAGAGGAGAACTGGGCGCCTGTCAAGGACTGCCAGAGAGAGATTTGAGGACCCGGAGAGAAAGGAGAGGTTGCGGGCAGCAATGATGGTGAGCTTGGTGTCTGGCTGTGTCAGTTTATGATTATGCTGCTCAAACATGCTTTCTTTGCATAATCTCTTAAGGAAATGTATGTTTTTTCTCCCTGAAGCGTTTGTTAATCACAATCCATCATACCTATTATCGGTCAGCATCGCATGTCACTGTGCTGAACTGCACTCAACCAACCAACTCACATCAAATTTGCACTGTGCATTTACGCTCACGTCTGATGAGATGTGTAGGAGCACAGTTCTGGTCCTAGTGTTTGTCTTCAAACAGTCTATTCTAGATGAATGTAGTTCCTCCTTTCCATTGACTGCAGATTCTTGCCTTGGCTTTTCGCCTTCACTTTCCCCTTTTCAACCCTCCATATTTTCAGAAGGGATACTACGAGAAGAATGCCCCGTCCAAGATATCGGCACGGGCCAAGCGGCGTTGTGCTGACCCTGCATTCAGGCAGCTTATCAGCCAAGTAAAGACAGGTGATGAAGCGTTGTTACACCACCCCTGTTCTTGTCTTCAATCTCTTTTTTTTTCCCTGATCTTATTTGTGTTTCAATTTCCCCCGTTTCCCCCCTTTTGTTTACATGTTTCTTCCCACCCCTTCCACCCCTTCTTTCCCTTTTATGCTAGGTGTGGCGTTTCATTGCAAAGCTTGTGGCCAGGCTGGTCATCGGAGAAACTTTTGCCCCTCATTGGGGCATGTGAAGCAAGACCGTACAAAAAGAGGTCTGAGGAGGCCTATGCAGTGCACGAAGTGTGGGGAACTCGGACATAATCGCCGATCTTGCAAGATTCTCCCTGAGGATTCAACGAAAAGCCAACAGCTTACACCTGCCCTGAGGGCCACAGAGGAGGTCAAAGCAGGGAAGGTGTTGCACAGACTTATCCGGTGCTCAAAGTGTGGCAGTACTGGGCATAATCGGCGCACTTGCGAGCTCCTGATTAAGCTTAGCAAAGAGCAGATTTGAGCCACAAAGATTTAATAGAGCGTCTGGTGTATTTGGTGTATATTTATCTTCAATTTTTCATTCATGTGCCTGAAAAACGTAAACCACACTGACCTTCTATCGGAGTACTTGATTCGCGAATCCGGTCGTTCGCCTCTTCGCGAAAGCTCACACCCAAATAGCGACCATTGCAACAACAGCATACCAGCGAAGGAGCACGTTCGAGTCCTTTTTCTCCAGCCCCTAGTCCCATCCCTACTCTCCAATCAAGAGAATCTTGTCAAAGCGCTCTATTTTCCGGGCGCATGTGTCGAGACCAGGGAAGAAGCACCGCTTTCAGTGCAACACGAAAGCTCGTGTTTTCAAGCTGCCTTCATCCTAGCCACAAGCTTATCGAACGCTACAGGGTTCGGTCTATGCGGTTCCTCTCAAACCGCTGTTCGCCAGCTTCTATCTGGTCGATTCTTCCTCCGTTTCTTCCAACGAGATCCGCCAGCAAGTTATGAGTCAGCGAGCTATGCGGTATGGAACTCAGTCCCCATTGCCTTATAAATAGTTTTTTTTTAACGGGACGCATTCATTAACTGATTACTGGGAGCTTTGCTGCAGCAGGCCAGACGGGCCTGATATACTCTTGCTCGCAATGCTGGAGGGTCGTCGGATTCCGTGATGCCCTTCTCTCGTTCTTCTTCTCGCGAGAGTTTCCACACTTTGAGCAAGGATGTCTCACTCTTCGTGGAAGTCCTTTACTTCGCGACATACCTCCACTCAACTTCACCCCCTTTTTCCCCCTCTGCACTCTCTCTCCCTGACCCTCTTCCGCCCTTGACCACCACACTGTTCGCGGCCCCCCATCCCCTCCCCGCTTCTCTTCCCCGCCTTATCTCCTTGAGCAGATTTCTTCCCGCTGCTCGCCGGTTTCTCCGCGCATCGCTGCCATCAATCTCTTCCCCAATACCATCCGAATCATCAGCCTTACTACCATTGCCGAGACTCGGACTGTTTGGCCGAACAAGAACGGCGCCTAGACCAGCAGCATTGCTTGCAAGCTTCAAGGCGGACTTATCTCCTCGAACCGACCTCAATCCTTTCCCACCATCTCCCTTTCTTCCTCGTCTTTCTCAACACGAATCACCTCCAACGTATGTAAAACAATTCCGGCTTCTTGCCTCCTGGAGACCCCCTAGCCACACCATTGAATCCCACGCGTTAACATCTCATTCGCCTCCCTTTCTCTCTCCATCGTTTCCCTTATCCGTTTCATCCCACCGCCATTCTTCCTCTATCCGATCTAAGACCCACATGAAGGCTGTAGTTTTTGACGAGCCTGGAGGTGCGGAGGTCCTCCAGGTTCGGGAGGTTCCAATGCCCGAGGTTCGGGAGGGGGAGGTGCTCATTCGTGTCGCTGCTACTGCTCTGAATAGAGCCGATATCATGCAGCGTCTGGGATCCTATCCTCCACCTGAAGGTCGGTGCGTATATAAGTATTTCTCCTTGCATCATCACACTTTTCAAATATGGTCACACGCATGGGTGCACAGAGTGGGCACGAACCCATTTGCACATGTTCTTTTGCTGTTTGTGTTCCGAAATGGGGCTGTTTTTTTCCCCTGTTAATTTCT